GATGCTCTCGGTGTTAGAAAATCCAGTTCCTCAAGTCTGTTCTTATCAAGGCCGTGTTATGTCCCCTGACAGTAAGTCCCTGCATCCTCGTCTTTTACACTCAGGCTACAAATGTAAAAGTTTCTCATAAAGTGTTTTCATTCTTCTGAACTCACTCAAGGCCCAAGTATTAGCATTTCAAAGGGAAAGTAAAATAAAAATTAGAGCACTCATGGTAAGAAAACCCATGTAATGAGTGAAAGATCTTATAAATAAAGGGCTATGATCTCATTTGGATTTGGAACAGAGATATTGAAGACTTACATACAATAGTTCTAGTGATAGAATATTTTTTTAATTTGGAAAACAGCTGGAAGGGGCCTAGGATCTTACTGAATGTGTAGTGGGGAGACAGACAGTCTGAGGAGAATAAGGACTGAATTCACAGGGAAACTCTTCCGGCGTGACCGTGACCTCATGGACGTTACACAGCTCGCACATCCGGGGGACAACAGAATTGTCCAACTGAGCATTGAACACTGGTTCTTTTTTCCCATGTGCACACGCCCTTCCATGACTGTTTGTTATGCAGAGACTTGCTTACAGGATCATTTCACTGTTTAATTTTCCTGGAAACAAAAGTACACGCAGAAATGAGCTGATCTCTAATGAACAATTCTATTGAGTCCCATATTCAGTGCTGGTTGCAATAATGGTTAAAATCTGTTGCCTATCATCTTATGTTATGCAAGTGTTAGAATTGTTTTGTTTGTTCGAAAAATAGAGGCTGTCTGGTTTTAATTTTTAAGCCTACTGGGAAATTCATGTGTTAATATTTGTGTTAACAAGCTGACTGTGTGTTTTTGCTAGTCTGTAGCATTACAGAATAACATTACTATTAGAAAATGTGCTCTGGGTACTTCCATTATTGCTTAATCACCATGACAATGAAGATTAGCTTAATTTAGAAACACATATGCCTTTAGATATCCTTTATTATATGTACAAATGCAAATAATAAGCTACTTATTTGTATTTTCAACAGTTTTAGAATGCAAAGATTAATAAAAGAAGTGAATTTAAGGAATGCTAAACTATTACCAATTCCTTCTCTGTTAACCCATGTTGTTTGAAGTTTAGTGGAGTAAAAGGGTTATCTAACCAGTTTCCTGAACATGCATCTTCAGACTCATTAGATGACTCTTTGTTCAACAAAAGGATTGCTTTCTAAAAATGGACAATCTGCTGATGGTTTTTATTGAGGCTTTCTTTTCCTGCTATAATGACCTATCTGCTTACTGATACAAAGAACTTGTGTATGAGCCAGAAGGGGCAAGAAGGCATTTGGATTGGTCGTTTAGTGAGCACAGAATGGGTTAAAGAATATGAAAACACTTGTTTATAGTTAAGCTAGGTTTTGTTGAGACTGACTTCTGTGGGATATATCTTTAAACCAAATATTGTTTCCGTAAGCCAGAGAAAATTTATTTAAGTTTTTTCAGGCCAAAGAATTCCCAGAAATTTGTATAATAGAACCAGAATGATTGAACTTGTTGTTCATTACAAAGATCTGTAGTTGAATACTACAAATTCTTCAGAGTCTGAGTAGGCATTTGCTGAATTAACAAAGTTCTTTTTTACAGCATTAAAAATAAGGCTTTTTTATATTTTACAATAGAGTTTTGTGAAAAGAGGATGCAAAATGTTCTTTGTAGCTGAGCATGAGAGTACGTATCCCTGAGGAACCCTGAGATTCATATGATAAAATTGATTAGAATTTTGTATTAATAACAAGAGCTTAATTCTGATATGGTAACTGTGTAGAAAGAAACTAACTCCAGTTAAATCACTGGGGAAAAAAATACTGATAACAGAAGCACTGCAGTGAAACAAGTTGAGTGGGATCAGACTCACTTTTTTCTTATGGCTTCAGTGCAGTCACAAGGTTGTGCAGTAAGGACTCTGTTAAGGCTTTAAGATCCTGTTATTCTTACAGCCATTATCCAGGACTCCCCTTAGTCAAGAAGTTCCATTTCCCATTTAGAAGTACTTTCAAAAAGAAAACCACCTTTTTTTCTGGTAGTAACTGTCTGTAGGACAGGCCGATGAAGTTGTCCTCAGACTTCTAAAAACATAAAACCTTTCTGAAATTGCAGTTTAATTGTAAGGAGGAGGTGGGTTTTCTTCCCCGTATTTGACAAGAGCAAGAGGCTGACCCACGTGCGAATCCTGGTTTATGGAGGTTATATTGGCATGTTGTTTGACTATCAGATGGATTCTGTTGTCTTTTGTTTGATGAATAATGTTAATTCTGGCATTTCTTATAACTTAATGAGTATTTGCTTTGTATTACAAACTTTCTTTCAATCAAATTTTCTTATAATCTTAATGTTTATGGCAGTTAGAGGTAAAATATCTTATTAGTAAGGCTAAAAGCATGTTATGATTTAGAAAAGGTCCAAGTTATGGAATGCCTTTGTGAAAAAAATGATATGGTAGGAAGGTGGGGAGGGACAGAAAATAGCAAAGTTATGTATTTGTATGTAGTAATCCATGCTCTGGTGCCTGCCTGCCAGCATTTTGCTGCAGCAGCCGTGCAAAATGGATATGACCGAAGGCTGCAGTAACAAATCTCTGTGCTAAGGCTGCTACAAGGAGCATGTACGTTATGCAGTTAATCCTGGTGAGACGCTGCTGGGCTTAAGTTTATAGACTTTCACACACTGATTTATCAAAGACTGTGCATTCAGAGAAGCAGTGAAAAGTCAGTAAAGCTCAACACAGTTTCCACTCAAAAGTGATTTTTTTAGTTCTGTTCTGAAGAGAATCATGTTTCCATTAAAGCATATGGAGAGATCATAAAGTAAAGTTCCAGGAAATGTATTTCAAAGTTGGACTTATCTCTGCCTATCTTTGCCTCAAAATCTTCTCACAAAGAACAAGAATATGAGACTTGTGTATGTTAATGACTTACCCTTGGCACTAATTCAAGGTTATCTGGAAAATTGTTTCATGTGTCTGCTCTGGTCTCTAATGTTTTCCTTATTTTTTGATAAGGAGATGATAAGGTGTCATAAGACTTAATGAATCTACTTGGCTTTTAAATCCTTGTATTGCAGGGTTTTGATGTTGTTGCCTTTGGAAATTAGCATTAAATAACTGTTAGGCAATACTGTTCTTGCTTACAAAGAGGAATTACATCTTAATTTTATTAAAAGGTTTATTTTCTTGGTGGCTTCACCAAAGATCACTTCTCCCTCTGTGCACATCAAATTGATAAAATGGCCTTAAAAAAATGAAAGTCAAAACAGAGAGTTAGCAATAGGGGTATTTTTTTTCTTTCAGTCTGCTTGCATAAGCTCAGATCTTCAGACTCCAGTACACTTCAGGAAGTGCTACTTGTTTTGAAGATAGGGACAGTGTGTTCTTATCACTGGCAGAATCATCTGTAATAAAGCATTATAGGGGAAGGTCATGAATGTGCTATCCAAAATGAACTCTGTATTAAGTATCTGAGCATCTGGAGTTTCTTTTACCTGTTAGTTATTCAGCTTGTTCATGCTGTTTTCTTCTTCTGAGCTGGTACTGCAGCAGGTGAGAAAAAGGGCAAGATCTGAGAAGAACTTTTGTCCTTTCTAGATGCATAGAAACTAGGGAAGACTCTCAGTTTTTTCTCTTTGCCCGCAGTTATAAAGCTGGAATTGTAATTTGAGAGCAAATTTCTCCCTTGGAGAAAGGGAGAAATAGAGAGGGAGGTAAAGATGCCTTAAGAGAGCATCTTTTCCCTTGTAACTGAAAAATATGCATGTAATTTAGAGTGTGTTAGGATAAACCTTCAGATTTCAACTGATTGATAACTAAATATATGGTCTCAAACATGATTGTTCATCTTCTGCTCTGCTCTGTGGAACATCAGTCTTACACTGCATTCTCTTATTTCGTGGCTGCAATAGAAATGATAGAGAACTTAAACTTAGAAGTGCCCTCTGAGGTGGGGAACATTCTGTTGAACTTAAACTATTTTTTGAATGGGTATGCACACTCCTCAAGTATTTCTTATTATTG